CCTGCCGCTCCCCCCGTTCCATAAAGGAAAAGGAACGGGTTGGCAGGGGGCAGGGAACCGGTCCCGGTGACCGAACCTCGGGAGCCTTCTCCTTCCCTCGTTTACGAACCGTTACGCAGATACGAGGATCCAGGAAACCGGTAGGACGATGATAATCGACCACCGGTACATCGGCCGTATACGCCTTTTGCACCGGTACGCAAGCCGACGCCACCCACCAGACGGGCGAATGAACGTACGATACGATATACTCGTGGTCATCCTCGACCAAGAACGGAACGAATTCGAATGTCGATGAATATGTAATTGCCATTCAAGGCCTCCGCCATTCATTCCTAGCAAGGTTTGCTATTGATAATAATTTTAATAAAATTGAATTTTCATCGATTTCGAATATTTAAGAGTGTATTAAGAGCGTTGAGAGTGTATTCACCCAATTCGAAGGAGATGCTTGGAAGGAGGTATTTGGGAAGATATTTCATATTTTTGGGTGTGATAAAATAATTGTGAAAATAATATATATAAAAATGGTTTATTAAGAAGATTATTTAGAATGAAAATTAGTATGATATTTGAGCTTCAAGGAAGAGTATAATTTATAAATGGTGTTATTAATTAAATTAAGAATTTCAATTTAGAAAAAGATTTACGAAATGTATTATGGAATGTTTTATATTGCTTATTATTAAAAGAGATTAATATTTTTATAGGAATTGGACAATTTCGATTAAGAAGTTGTTGTTGGTTGTTATGTGGCTCAGTAAGATGCAAGTCTTCCATTTTTCTTTGCAACGAGTCAGGGTAGAAATTTTAATGATTGTATTCGTTGCTCGACAAATATTTCAACTGTTCGTGTAGAGTGGCGAGGCGACGAGCGAGGACCTCGTCAATGTAACGAATGATTATTCTCGCGATTCTTCACCAGCCACTCGCGTTACTGAAATATCGATGGAAGAACCTGATGGAGTATGCTTGAAGCATTGAAGCAGATTTCCTTGGAAACACGTTAAAGCGGATGCTTCGATTCGACGTTCCTCTCTCCGAGAGAGAGAGAGAGAAAGACGAGAGAAATGAGAGAGAAAAACGAGAGACGAGAGACGAGAGAGAGAGAAAGACAAGAGACGAGAGAAACGAGAGAGAAAAAAGAGAGACGAGAGAAACTAGAGAAAAGAGAGAGACGAGAGAGAAAAGAGAGAGACGAGAGACGAGAGAGAAAGACGAGAAACAAGAGACGAGAGACAAGAAATGAGAGACGAGAGAAAACAGAGAAAAGAGAGACAAAAGACGAGAGAAAAT